ATTGGGTTGCCAACTGGAACACTGATAATGTTCTAGAGGCCTGTCATGCAGGCAGGTTTGATGAGGCCAGCTCTGGCTTGAGCTCTCATTATGTCTTACCTGAACTGTTACAAAAGCCTCCTTACTGTCTACCGGCCTTTGATGGGCCCAGTCCACCAATTCCTAACTGGTACTGGCCTATCCTCCTAACTATATTAGTCTTTCTAAACTGTGATTTATCGAATCATGTCACTTTTATGCATTGAAACATTCATAATGTCTTTTGGCCTATACAATTTCCAAGTTTCTGAGCTAGGCCCGTCTTGGATGGGGCTATCAGCCCTCTCCCCTGAGTGCCCTCCCACTATCCAGCGACTCCAGGGCACCACGGGGTCTCTTCCCCCTTTTCCAGATGACTTTTCTGACTGTTGTTCCCCTGGGAAACTCCCGAGAATCGTTCAAACATTACTTCCACTCTAAAGCCTTCCCTCACACCCATTTGCAGAAGCAGAATTAAGTGTTTCTTTCTCTTTATGTCTACATCACTGAAAAATTCTCTTATCCTGACCAGAACATTTGGTTGCAAATTCTGGAAGGCCAGCTTTAAAAACTTAAACCATGAACTGAGATTTATTCACACATGTCCCCACATGGCACAGTGCCTGGGCCTTAGGATGGTTGAGACCAGGACTTCCCCAAGCAGCTCTCTTCACGTGGCAGAAATTAGAGACAGTGACTTCTCCAGCTTTGCATCCATATACACTTCAAACTAGAGGAGGGAGCTCCTTGCCACTAACTCCAGTCATAAAATTTCAGAGCAAGCATTCTAGTTCATGGGCATGGTCCACATGTACACATCCCTGTCACTATCTTCATGGAGGGAGGACTGGGGACATTGGTTCACCCAGACCGAGTCAGGGTACCTCCTGCTCTGGCCTGGGAGTCGGGTACCATAATTCACCCCCCCACCATGTCTTAAACCCCTTCTTGGCTTTAGAGTAGGAAAGAAGCAGGGCTCCAAAAGAACAGGATACAATCTTAGAAGGGATTCCAGACAGGCAGACAAAACAGGTGTCAACTGGAGAGCTTTTCAAAGTCTGTAGCTAATAACACTCTGATTGCATTATGATTGCACATTTGAAGGTGCCTTCCTTACCGGAGCCTGGGCTCCTGCTGTCCAAGAATCCTGTCTCACTCATCTGCCTGTCGTCACCACCTAGAGTGATGCCTCACGCCAAGCTGACACTTAGCTAGTGTGTGTTTGTTCTGAATTAACAAATGGACATGTCTCCAATGTTGTATGAATAAAATATCCAGGGAATGTAATTACAGAACTTTATAGTATTTTGAAGTTAGTTAGATGAAAGTTCATAGAGCGCCTATAATTAGAACTTCATTGAGTGATTCCAGATTTACCTAAAGCACAATAAATAACCTTTGAAATACAACTATTGAGTTCATACTGTTATCTTTTTTATTAAAGCCACTTAATCTTTACAAAAATCCCGTAAGTTATAGAAATTACCACTATTTCACAAATTAAGAAGATGAAGTTAAGAGGTCCTTGGGCTTCCACAAACTCTCACCGGTAACAGGCTGCAGAAAAGGAATGGAAAATCAGGCTCGCTGATGACAAGTTTGTTGCTATGCTTGTAAGCAAATTATTTAAGTTCTTTGAGTACGAGGGGGATAGTAACACTTATTTCTGAAGATTGGTCCAGATTAAGGAATCAATAGATAATAGTCGCTACATTTGTCAGGATGTTGGAGGACTTCCTCGGATTTCTGACTGTGTGTATTTCTGTAGTTGCGTGGCCAGTCCTCTTCCTTGTCCCACACCCTGGGGACTCATCCTGCACTTTTCTCCTCTTCAGTGCTGCCCACTCTGCCTCCAGTATGTTCTGTAGCCTCCAGGACTGGCTATGGAACAGCAGCAGGCTCCTGGGCTCCCCTATCCTCGCCGCAGCTGAGCACCCAGGCCTCTTTCCCTGCCCAAGCAGCTTGCCTCTAGTGCAGGAAACATACCAACAATCGTAAGAACACGTGGATCCCAGACCTTTTGTTCTACATCAGTTTGCACCACTGTTCTCTCAAGTGTGAAATAAGGGTGTTGGACCGGAGAAATTTCTATATTAAAGTTGGTTATGCAAAGGAAATTGTAGTGAAAATATTTTCACTGCCAAGTTAAGCAATATTATTACCCCATCTCAGAAAAAAAGGTTTTAAATATTTTTTAGTCCACCAAATATATCAGTGTTGGTCTTGCCTGTTTGTCAGATGCATTGTTGTTACTTTTAGCTTTTCCCTCTTTCTCTACTTCTCAGCAGGGGTTACATGCCTGCAGCGTATATTTAGAATTTTCCCCTGAATAGAGATTCTAACAAAAGCTGAAGCAAAGAACACAGAGAAGAAATATCATGATGACATTTCTTTCAGGCTCACTGCCTAGATCTCACTTGGCCTATTGCTTTCTTCTCATTAGTCGCACTGCCTGAATCTGATTAGCCCGCCCTGATTTATTTTTAGCAACCTGGGTGCACATAGCCAGTGCTTATTTTCATGGCTGATACAGTCATCCCCAAAGACGTCCTTAGATTTTTGAAAGATTAACTCCTTTCTCTGGAAAATTTACTCTCTATGAAGCATCATGACATGACAGACATAGATTTCTTAAACATTTTACAAAATTGAATTTATTCTTTTCATCATCATAAAACTTTCAGATAATGGCTGCTAAAACACAGAGTGAAAAATTCTTAATAAATATGAATGTGATGTTTGTAAATTTATTGTTTTCTGAGTTAGTGAATCAGCTCCTAAAATAGATAATGAATAAAATTCAGACTTCAATGCTACTACATATTCAGTACTTGGTTTAGCCTCCCGTTTCCACCTCAGGCCCTCGGCAATAGAGTCACGTACCGCTGACCAGGATACATTCAGAGAAATAAACGTCATTAGGCCATTTTGTTGCTGTTCAAACATTGTAGAGGGCCCTCACACAACCCTTGATGGTCTAGCCTACAACACACCTGGGCTGCATGGTCTAGCCTATTGCTCCTGGGCCACAAGCCTACACAGCATGTTACTGCACAAAACAATAGGAGATTAAATAAAGCACAGTGTACGAGGCTGCTTCTGGTGTTACACAGCATGCTGTTTTACAGCAAACTTTTTTTTATATGTAGAAAGAGTATACTCTCAAATAATGATAAAATGTATACTATGATAAATACATAAATTAGTAACATAGTTGCTTATTGTCATTATCAAGTATCATGTACTATACTTTTATACAACTGGCAGTGCAAGTAATAGGTCTGTGTACACCAGCATCACCATGAATGCAAAAGTAATGCATTGTGACATACATTGCAAAGGCTACAACATCACTATCACAGCCCACACTAGGCCATAGGAGGTTTTCAGTCACATTATAACCCTATGGGACCATCATCACATATGTGGTCTGCTGTTGGCCAAAACATCATCATGCAGTGCATAACTATGTAGTATGGGTCATATCATATGTTTGGTCCCAAAAGTATTCTTGGTTTGAAAACCGGTCGGGAACCTCTTAGGTGGAATGGGAAACCTTGCAGATGCCAGGCATTGGTCCTGGAGCTGCATATGCACTAGAAATAAGATACAGCCTCTGTCCGTAAAGGACTTAGGGTTTAGTGTGTTCAGAATAACATGAACACAATTAAGTCCATTAAATGTTAACACAGCATTAAACTGTTAATGGCGAAATATTCTTTAAAAATCCTAGGACCTGTAAAAACTAGATTTCTATAAATAAATAAATAAATAAGAAGAAAAAATATTCATACATTTTAAGTATATGTAGACTCTTGTAGGGTAGTAATACGTATTGTATGCTTGATTTGTCTGCTGACAATATGTGTGGGCTCATGGACACGGACAACGGTGTGGTGATTGCAGAGGGGGAGGGGCCTGAGGGGGATAAATGGTAATAGAAAAATACAATAGAATAATAATGAAATTTAAAAAGACTAATACCATCTCATGAGGTTGTTTGAATATTAAATGAAATGATCGTGTTTATAGACTGCCTGACTTAGCATCTGGATCCTTGTAAGTCCTTCACGAGTTTCAGCAATTTTTGTGCCCCACCTTCATAGAAGAGAAATGTGAGGTTCAGAGTCATGAAATCACTTATCTGGGCTGCTGCATACCTAGAAGATAAAATTAAAAACAAAGCAGCAAGTGGTACAAAGTATATGAGTCTTGCATGAGACCAGAGAGCAGGACTGATTCTGCCTGTGGAGCAGAAAAAATTAGGAGGAATATTTAAACCAACTACACAAATACTTTTTCAAATACTGTCCATAAACATTTACCTGGAGATACGGGACAAAGTCCTCAGTCCACTAACTGCTGATTTTCCCATATATGCTGCGGATCCCCAGCCTGGTCCCTCCTTCAAAGACTATCTTAGCTTTTATTATTAAGGGCTGGCTAACCATTACTGAGGAGGATTATCACAAGTTTCTCAGTGCTGGCTTTTATTTTTTCAGAGCTCACAGTTGAGAAGTGGGGGAGGAAATAACTGCCTTGAGACAGCCTTCTAGAATTCTCCTAGGATTTCCACAACACCTCTCCCTCCAAAATAAAATAGGGTGCTTCTTCAAACCACATGGCTTCTCCAGCAGAGCTGAAATCAAGGACTTCTCTGGAAGTTGAATGCCAAGATGATTCTCATTCATTCATTATCTACTCATTTCCATGATGGTTATTTCATGTTTATTACATGACACAGCCCATGAACTAGAAGCAGCTTTTCAATGAAGAAGAATCCTCAAAGTAAAACCCCAAGAAAATCTTGAGACATAAGAGAGTTAATCTCTCTTTCTGCCTCTCCTTGTACATCGTATAACTCGATTTTACAAAGTAATGCTTACCACAACATTAGTTTTGGAAAAATTATCTCAGTATAATTTTATTGATAATAATCTGAATTTGACCTCCATTTCCATGTTTTCTCTTTTCTTAAACAGAATGCTACAACATTCCGTGTAACTGTGCAAGATGATAATAGCATCGTTGTCTCTTTAGAAGCTTCAGATGTCATGAGTCCATCATCTGTGTATGTTGTGAAGATAACTGGTGAATCAAAAAATTACTTCTTCGAATTTGAGCAATTCAACAGCACTCTGCCTCCTCCTGTTATCTTTAAGGCCAATTATCATGGCCTTTATTATATAATCACTCTGGTGGTGGTAAATGGACATGTGGTTATGAAGCCATCCAGATCAATCACTGTGTTAACAAGTAAGCAACATGTGTAATATTGTCCTTTGTGTTTCTTCTTTGTGTATATTCTTATAAAATCCCAATTAAAAGAAAGATCAGCCCAGAATAGCAAGATCTAGTAAAATCAAGTGATATAAATTCTCCTTGACATCAAATCACATATATTCAAAGTTTTGCTTTATATCAGTAGAGTTTCTTGCTGAAATTTAATAACATTTTACTCTAATATTTTGTTTCAAATGCTTAAAACTAAGAGAAAGTAAACTTTAATGAGGTATTTTAAGACTGAATGACAACTTTAGATTCATGATCAGACCATGTAACTTTCTATTACTTAATAGTATGATCATAATTAAGTTATTTTTGCCATAACACATATTCTCATATTATACAGTTTGGTTTTTGAGACATGAATTTATACTCATATTTAGCCTGCTCAAATTCTATTCTACATTTTCATCCAAGAGAGAAAAAGATACCACTATTTGTCAGTGTTATTCCCCACCACATCCTCATAATAGTCTTGGCATCCAGCACCCAAGAAAAAAAAAAGCCAAGAAAAAAAATCAGTGGCATTTAGTAGTTCATGTTTTCAGTAGTTCATGTCTTAAAGAGTTAATGTTGATATTAGGAATTTTTTATGATTGGTATTAACTATATTAGTTTTAACTGTGATGCTCACTTTACTCTGACTTTAATATCTAATCTCAAAGTAACATGCAATTCTACTGTACATGATGAGGTGTGGAAGAAAAACTGTTTTCTATAATGTGGTAGATTTCATCACTAGAGTAATTAAATGGCTCAACAAAGTTCTTTTTGCTCATTGTTCTTCCGTGCAAATTTTTTAGCAGCTGTAGTTTTTATAATACCAACTACATGTGATCATTCTGTCAACAGGTTTTTTTTTTTAAAAAAAGGACATAGTGATATTTTCTGTTGAAATAAAGGAGAAAAATACCAATAAGGAAGAACTCGGAATCAAGCTAGAGGACATGTTTTTTAACATGTCTATAAAAAATTCATTGAAATTTCCCTTGGCAGAGCCCCAACATCTGTACTGAGTCCTAAAAACTAGGAAAAACAGACCCAAGACCTTCAATGTTTACAGATATAATGAACAAACATAGGGAAGACCTAGGCGAATCAAAGGACAAGCTTGCCTGGTAAAATACTGTCTTAAATGAGTACCATAAAAGGTAAATTGAGAATTAATAGATTCAGGCAGCAGGCTTAGGTATAAAGTACCCATAATACAACCTCTTGAAACCAGAAACTTTGCCTTACTCATTTTCCCAATTTCATAAGCATCTAGCATAAACCTTATGCTTACCAGATGATCAGTAAATATTAATTCAATTTAGTTAAGTAAATAATAGGAGGAAGGGCCAGGGGAAAACAAAGACTAAGGCACAAAACAAAATAAAAGGTAGTGACTTGCCAACTCAGCATCCATTAGCATGCCCCCAGCCACTCCTGATTAGACAAAGCTAGAGTCAGCTACTGGCTCATAAAGAAATTTGGTAAGTACTTGATTAGAAGATTTCTGGAATATCTCATTGAAATTTTAGTACACACAGTGAATTTTATTTAAAATACATTCTAGTTTTCTTTATGATTTCATCTTTGAAATGTAAGCTTGGAAGTGCCTTGCTGAAAGACCAAAAATGTGATTTTGCAGAGATCTTTTCATTGATTCTTCAGTAAATGTTGTGATCAGAGAACATACTTTGTGTGATTTCAATGACTTGAAACTTGTTGAAATTTTTTTATGGTCCCAAATATGGTCTATATTGTGGTATAGGCTGTGAGTACTTGTTGGGTGAAATTTTAATAAATGTCAATTAGGTCAAGCTGACTGCTCAAGCCTTCCATACCCTCACTGCTTTCCTGTGTACCAGTTCTAACAGTGCTCGATAGAGGAGTCGGAAAGTTTCTGCCTGTCTGTGGGTTTATCTATTTCCCCTTTCACTTAGTTTACACTTTACGTATTTTGAAGTTCTGATGTTATGTTGTAGGTGCAAGCACTTTTAGCATTACTATGTCTTCTTGTTGAGCTGAGCTTTTTATCATATGCAATGTCTCTCTTTATCCCAAGTAATATGCCATGTGTTGAAGTCTATTTTGTCTGATAGTAACATAGACTTCAGTTTTATGTTGTCATGGTATACTTGTTTTATCTTTTTACTTTCAATCTACTTATGTCTTTGTATATAAACTGGTTTCTTGTGGACTCCATAAAGTTGGATCTTGCTTTATTCCAATGTGGAAAATCTCTGCTTTTTAATTGAAGTGTTTAGACCAGCACTACCCAATAAAAACAGAGTGTTAATCACATATGTAAAATTAAATTTTCTGGTAGAAAAATTAAAAAACTTTTCAAAAAAGTGAGATTAATTTTAATGACATAGTTTATTTAATCCATTACAAAATATTATTTTAATATATAATAATATAAAAGTAAAATAATGCTTTTTTAGTTTTAACATAATTAAAATTAAGTAATATTAAAAATTTACTTTCTCAGTTACAATAGCTTCATTTTGAGTGATCAAGAGCTCTATGTGGCTAGTGGCTACCAATTTTGATAGTGGAAGTTTAGTGCATTTATACTTAATGTAATTATTTACATTGTTAAATTTAAATCTACAGTATTACCAAACTGTTAGTGTGGGAGGTTAAGTTGATCTAGTCATTAGTTGAACTGGGTTTAAGGTATTAGGCACCTTTTGGCTCATCACAGATCCCAAATTCCTCGGCGGTAGTGCAGCAGGGTAGAGGGGATTCCCACTGCTCCAGTTTCAGCCTCTGAGTTCAGCAATCCCTCAACCCCTGCACCACAGAAGTGCTCCATGATCCTGCCCCTCCCCTAACAATGGACTACTGTTGTTTTTCACTAGTGCCAAGATTTTGGTGAGGACAGGGGAGGTTCTTGGTTCCCCTGGTCTGGCCACAGGCCTAGGCAGACCCTCTGATCCTGAGTGAGGCATTCTTAGCATTCCTAATGCTCACTGCACACATTCATGGAAGGTCTTGAGTTAGTTTCCTACCTCTTCCTGGGTAGCAGCAGAAGTCTACTCTATATCAGTGCTATCAACGGGGCCAAGAGAGTTTCTGCTCCACTCCCAGGAACTGATATTGGTGAGGAGGGAGACCTGGTTCTTCTTGCTGATGCATGTAAAGAGTTACAGATCAGCAAATCTGTTAGAGAGCAATCACAGTTCATTAGTGATCTGTGCCCATGGAAGAGAACAGACCTAGCTAAGGTGGGAGGAGGTAAAAGGCATAGGCTCTGGGCAAAGCAGGGTGGCAAAAGTAAGGGCGGCTGAGGGCCGAGGTGGTGAGCCCCTGGGCGGCCAGAGCGCCAAGAGCGCGAGTCCTTTGTTCTGAGGACTTATAGTTGGTGGGATGAGAGTAAAAAAGTTACATATTGGTTAAGAGGTCAATGGGGTGACAGCTTTTTCCTGGGGAGGATGGGTGTACCCAAACTTAGGTATATGTGGGTGTCTGTAAACCCGAATCCTTATCTTGCTCCAGACTTCATTTGTTCATCTTGTTGTAAAACAAATAAGTGATAGGAGGCTGTTAGTTAAAGTTGGGGAAGTTACCCACAGTTATTTGGGGCTGCTCCTTTGGGCCCTGTGGACCCTCTCCCCCATTTCAGGCCTTGGGATGAAAGCACAGTGTCAAAGCTTTCTTTCTCAGAGAGTGGAAACGCTATATAGACTTTAAAGGACTGCCTTCCTAACACAGTGTTTTGCTTGGGATGTTGGAACACCTGGCAATATTATCAGACCAGGCTCAGGGCTACTGAGTGAGCAAGTGAGACATATCTTCCTCCTCCTCCCTGCCTTGGTTTACTATTCATTCTACCTAAGTGATAGAAGGTGTTTCCTGGGAACCAGGATGCTAGGCATTGGCCAGTAACAGCAATGCAGCCTCTGAGTTCTTCCTATACTGTCTCCTGCCTCAACATCTTATACTTCTACCTGTCCCTCAGAGGTGGGATACCTTTGCCTGAAAACTGGGAGGGAACATTTCTTCTGCCGCTGCCCAGTGCCTTAAGTCTTCTGTTTTGTAGGAAGAAAGATCCTGGGAATTAAGCGAGGTTTCTCCCTGATCCCTCAGTGACACCAGTTATCATCTGTATGCCCACGGCCCAGAGGGCGGCACTCTTGCCCTCACTGTTTCCCATGAGCACCCGATAAAGGCCCATGAAAAGAGCTGGAGAGAGAGAGTAGACTCCCAATCGTTCTAAACCAGTGCTGTCCTAGAACTTTGGGGAGATGGGAATGCTCTATATCTGCATTATCCAGTACAGTAACCACTAACTTTTCATTTTATTTAATTTTGATTGATTTATCCATACATGTAACTTAAATAGCCACAGGCACTAGTAACTAACCTACGGGACAGAGCAGTTCCAAACTGTCATTTAGAACGCACTCATCCTTATGAATTCATTAAAATCTTAGTTGTTTTCTTCTTTTCTCTTCTGTGTTCCCCTCTTCCTACCATGCTCTGCTAAAGGAAAAACAGTGTGTCCCTTCTGTCCTTAGAGGGGCTTGTCACTGTTTGGAATTTCCTTCATTTGGTTGTCTTGCAATCTCACCTCTGTGATAGATGCCAGAAAAGTTATGATCTCATGAATTATTTGGCTTTTTCTTCTTATTGTTGGATAACAGGAAGTGAGATTGATTTTCAGCTTTCTACATCCTAAGCAGATGAGGAAATTGGCCTTGATTTCTAAAAAGTAAAAAAGAATGTGGTTTATTATCTCTCTTCTTCTATCCCACTTTTAAAGGCTCAATCAGATACATCATCTCAGATTTTGAAGGGCATAATAGGTTAGGAATATAAACACTGTATCAATGTACAAATATTTCTATGACATTAAGCATGAGGTAACATTTGGGGTTCAAATTTCTCTTCAAAAAAAGGGAGAATTTAAGAACATGTTGACTAAGATTACTTTTGAGCTCTAAAATTATCATTATTTTCAGTTAATGATATAATTT